ACGAGGTGAGCATGTCGTTCAGGACTTGTATGGATTTCTTCGATGTAGGCGTGGGGAGGTCAGAGAAAGCCCGAAATTTGTCGGGGTTGGCTTCGATTCCTCGTTCTGTCACGTAGAAGCCGAGGAATTTCCCCGCCTTGACCCCGGACGTACACTTCTCGGGGTTAAATCTCATTTTGCATTGCCTTGCTTGAGCAAAGACATCCCTGAGGTGAGCGGCATGGTCGGTGTCTGCTCGGGATTTGACGATCATGTCGTCCATGTATACCTCGATCATATCCCCGATTTAGTTGTGGAATACTTTGTTCATCATCCGTTGATAGGTTGCTCCTGCATTTTTTAGGCTAAAGGGCATTACATTGTAGTAATAGTTGCCCGAGATGGTCATGAAAGCGGTGCAATGCTTGTCGCTTATTGCCATTGGAATTTGGCTATAGCCTGAATAGGCGTCCATAAACGACAGTATTTTATAACCGACCGAGTTTTCAACCAGCATACCTATGTTAGGTAAAGAAAATGCATCCTTCGGGAAAGGCCAGTTAAGATCAGTATAATCAATGCACATTCGCCACTTTCCATTATTTTTCTTGACAAGTACAACATTTGACAGCCAGGTTGAATATTGGGCTTCAGAAATAAAATTTTCCTCTAGGAGGTCTTTTACAGCTTTTTCAGCAGCCTTCGTTTTCTCTGGAGACTGCATACGTCTATGTTGTACTACTGCCCTAGCGGCAGGGTCTATGGAGAGACGGTGACAGGCGACCTCAGGGTCGAGTTCGAACATTTTTGTAGCGCTCCACGCGAACAGGTCTGCATTCTTGCGCAAACAAGCTTTTATTTGCTTCCTTGCTAAGTCAGGGATTTCGGTGCCAATCTTCACTCCTCTGCTTGGGTCCTCGCCGAGGGGGACGAGTTCGAAGTCCCCGTCCGGAATTGGTCGGAGGGGAATTTGCTCGCCGTTGGGAGGCTCATCCTGGTCTAAGCGAGTGTCCAGGGATATTGAGTCAACCTCTTGAGGGGTTCTCTGCTCTTCTGCCTTGACGGGCTCTGTCCTCTGAGGCTCTGGTCGTGTCGTTGCAACTCTCTTGACGGGCCTTGTGCTGGTGTCCACCGTATCGCGTCCCTTGGAAGCCACGTTAAAACACCTTCGGGCAGCTGCGAGGTCCCCTTGGATGGTGGCGACCCGTGCCCTCTTGGTATAAAAATTCATTTTCAGTTGAACGGTAGAGGGTACTGCAGTCAGCTCCGCCAATGTCGGCCTTCCTAGAAAGCAGTTGTAGAGGGACAAGCAATCAATGACGAGGAAGTGCACCTTGACTTGCCTCGTTGTCGTATCCTCGCTGAACGTGACCATGAGCTCGACGTATCCCCAAGGCTTGGAAGTTGAGCCATTAAAGCCCTACAAGTCTGACCCCACGTAAGGTGAGAGGTGAGAGTCACCGAGCTGCAGGGTTCGGAACAGTTGGCTGTACATTATGTCGACGGAACTTCCTTCATCGACGAGGACGCGGTGTACGTCAAAGTTGGCCATCCTTGCTATTATCAGCAGAGGAATGACCGAATTGGGGGCCCCTCCGGGGAGCTCTTCGAGATAAAAGGTGATAGTTTCTGACCTACCCTTCACCTTTTCAAAAGTCACCGTTTGAGGAGGGGCCGTGTCGACCAACTCGTCCAGCTTCCTCTTGGTCAAATTTATGGTCAGGTCATTGAAACCTCCACCATTGATGACCATGGCGGAGGGAAAGTGCTGCCACCTGTTGTGCATCAACACCGGTTCTTTCATGTAGTCGGGGACGTAGAAGTCCTCGGGTCTTGTGACGGAGAAGGCTGTTTGGATGGGGACTGACTCGTCAGATGGTCGGGCATCCTCTTCCACTTCTCTTGTCTCGTGGGAGTCACGACGAGGAGCGTCATTTCGCCGATACTGGGCGAGTCTCCCCCCTTTTATGAGGGTCTCGATGGCGTCCCTGAGGTGGACGCAGTCTTTAGTCAGATGGCCATGGCTCATGTGGTACTGACAGTATTTGCTCATGTCCACCCCGGGTTTAGCAGGAGCTGGTCGGGGACGCTTGACGCTGCCATCTTTGAAGTCCGTACTTGCACACTCTGCTAAGATGCACTCGCAGGAAGCCGTGAGCGGAGTGTACCCTGTGAAACGCCCCGAAGGCCCCCTCAGTTCTCGGATGTCCCGGGGTTTGTCGTCTTTTCTTTTTTCCCTGGCTCGTCGAGGAGGGATGGGCTCTTGGCGCGGGTTGCCGCTGGATCTGCGATTCCTGGGGTCTCAGGCTCTGTTGGCCGCTTCCCTCTTCTCGTAGTCCATGTAGGCCCAGGCCTTCTCGAGGAGAGCATCAAACGTTTGGGGTGGTTCGATGCCCACAACCTTCCTGAATTTTGTGTCGGGGAGAAGGCCTCTCTCCAGCAGGTATCTCTTCATATGGTCCGTGCAAGGGACCTGGATGGCTTCCCGGTTGAAGTGGTTGATGAACTCTCTCAAGGTCTCATCCTATCTCTGGACGATGGCCTCGAGCACCGCTTCGGTCTTCGGATGTCTCCGAGACGCAGTGAATGAGCTAATGAATTGGTTCTTCAAGTTTCGCCATGAGGTAATTGACCCCGGGGCGAGACCCTTGTACCAGTCCATAGCTGCTTTCCTCAGGGTCGTGGGGAACAGTCGGCATTTAATTGGTCCCCCGATGTTGTGGTAGTGCAGCATTGCCTCGAACCCGTCTATGTGATCGACTGGGTCGGCGACTCCGTCATATTCTTTAAGATGTGGAGGCTTTTCCATGCCCGGGGGAATGGGCGCCTCCATGATAGCTTGTGATTGGGGACCGCGGGGGTCGTCCTCATCACTCCGTTCCAGGGAGAGGGACGAGGACCTGATGTATTGTCGGTCACGATGGCTCTGGTCGTGCTGGACGTTCCTCGAGCGATGTGTCCATTGATAGGTTCCTCCGTGTCTGTCTCCGGGAGGTCTTCGTTCTTTCCGTAAAGGGCCAAGGTCGCGCCTTCCGGTCTCAATGAGTGGTTCTCTCTCCAAGGCGGGTCGCCGCCCGGGTTGTCGGGGCGACGGGCTTCGAGAGGTGTCCCGGTCCTGTCTCCGCGGGGGAGATCGGGGACGTTCCTTCGTTCTTCGAGGAGGTGGGGATTGAGGCCTCTTGTGTCTCCTCGGGGGCCTTCTGTCGTCCCCTAACGCTCTCAGTCTTTCCCCTTGGGCAAAGATGAGGTAGTTGGTCTGGTTGATTGCCGCGAACAATACCCTGGTAGTGGTGTCTGCCCCGACGGAGACAGGAACCTCATGGAATTGGGCGGCTAGATAGTTCGGGGGAACTGGATTATCTTCTTCGAGCCGAGGAGGGACTGATGAAGATGAAGCTGTGGCTCCGTCCCGGTAGTTAGAGGGCCCGGGGATGGCGCTCTCGGGGAGTATATTATGGTCGGCGTTGTCGAGGCCACCGTTTTTGTCGGCGAGATTGTTGTTAGCTTCAACGACGCGGACGTTCTGGTTGTCCTGAATATGGTCAGCCATGGCGGTCGGGGATGATTTTAGCTTTGGTCTTCGCGAGTTTGTAAGACGGGGAAGCTTAGTTTCCCACAGACGGCGCCACTGATCGTACCTGATCAGAGTTGGACCGTCACAGCTGGATCGAACTGAATTTGAAAGAGGTGGGGGGGGGGGGGGGGGGGGGGTACCTGCAAGACACTCCAATGATAAGGTGAGAGACGGAATGAGCAGGCGAATTGTATATAGACGTGAATGAATGAATACCTGATCCTCTTGAAATAGAGGGTATTTATAGCCCCCAGCGTTGGGCCAATGTCCCTTCATTGGGCTGACCAAACAAGCCCAACAAAGGGACTGCCAGGTTCCACGTGGAGTAGTGAGGACCTGCACGTGGTCCCCTACCTGGATGATGCTCTCCGCAGAAATAAAGAGGTGAAGACGCGGTCTTCTCGGGACCCTGAGGGCTCTGAGATATTAGGAGAGGTCGAGTCTGCCCTACGAGGAGTGTGTCCGAGCAAGTCCTGGATTGAGGAGTTCCTCGCCTGAGTTGTCCCTTGTCGGAGACAATCGTCACGGTCAGCGACAGATACAATTGTGTTCGACGACACTCATGATCGAGGCGTGTCGGGGATTCTAATACTCAACATGATATGTTGTAAAGTTTGGACTGGGTCTCGCTGGTAATTGGGCCGCGAGCAGGCCCAGTCCAAAACAATGTTATATAATTTAATATAAATTTTTTATTACAAATTAATCTCTCAAATTAAGAAAGATTACCATGAATAATAAATCTCAAATTAGAAAAGATCGCGATATCTCTAAATAAGTTGAAAGAGATGTATATTTTAGGTTTATATATCAAACTTTAAAATTATCCCGTGTCTTTCAATATTTTCATTTCCCAATTAAAATAGACCCTAGTTGTTTCTAGTATAAAGAAAATTAAATATTCTCCACCAACTTGTTTGGCTTTCTATAAATTCCCTACTCAAATCACATAGACTCCTCTTCCACTTTCTCATTCTTTTCTATGATATTACTCTACCTTTCTATTTGGCCACTAAGATATTTTATTTATATATGATATGCTCCATACCATTTCTCTTGTATCAAAACACTTGTTCCACACATGTTCTCTCTTTAATCACCAAGTAGAAAAAATTGCATCTTGATTAAATGTCCAACATCTTGTTGTTAATGTTTGAAATTCATGTATCCGATTCTCAGTGAAATCTTTTTTTCTGGGTGTATGATCAATTCCACTGTTAGGCGCAGGACCCATTTAGTTCAATCTTTCTCTGTTACTTTCCTCTATTGGCTTTACTACGTTTCATGATTCTTAATCTCTCTTAGTTTATACCTATATCATCTATATTTATATCTATATCTTAAAATAAAATATTTTATATTTTTCTGCAGTATTAATTTTCATTTTCTAGTGTGTCTGGGTCCTGCTAGTGTTGTGTTGTGTCTTTTTTATTAATATCTCATCATCATGGCTTCATCAAGTGGAACATCATCAGGTTCAGGTTCAGGTTCAGGTTCATCTCTGCTACAAAATTCGGGTTCGGAAGAAGATTTACAGGCTTTGATGGATCAGAGAAAGAGGAAGAGGATGATATCGAATCGCGAATCGGCGAGACGGTCTCGGATGAGGAAACAGAAACACCTGGATGATCTTGTTTCTCAAGTGACAAAACTGCGGAAAGAGAATCAAGAAATACTCACAAGTGTTAATATCACCACTCAACAATATTTGAGTGTTGAGGCTGAGAATTCGGTTTTGAGAGCTCAGATTGGTGAACTGAGCAACAGGTTAGAATCCTTGAATGAGATTGTTGGTGCTATGAATTCAACCAATGCTGCTTTTCTTGAGCCTAACAATAGCTTTTTCTTCTTCAACCCTTTGAGTAATATCTCATATATGAATCAGCCTATTATGCCTTCTTCACACATATTACAGTACTGAGTGACAATCTTGACCGTTAATCTGAAATATTTTTTATATTAATTTTGATCCGACGGTCGAGATTGAAAACTGTGACAGAATTGTTGATTTGTTTTGTATTGAGTTTGTTGATGAGATATTGTAAGCACTAGCTACTACCAAATGGTGATAAGGAATAAGTGAATGTGTGTATCATAAAGTTGGTTCTATGAATGGGGCCTAATTGATTATTGTTGTTACCTACCTTTGTTATTATATTATAAATTATAATATTACTATTCACATAGTTTTTATGTTATTAATTATTATGTTGTTCTATACTTTTTACTTTTGAAAATATTGAATGCTCTTTATAACTTGGGGTAATGTGTTGAAATTGATGAGAATGAACAATTGTGCACATTGCTGTTAAATTACTTTGAATGTAAAAGTGGACAGAGTTGAATTCTACACAGTATCAAAATCTTTTTTTGAAAATTGAGTGTGATGTATGATGCATTCTTTCAATCATGGAAAAATTTGTGTTCTCTTTTTATTTTGGTATGTTGTGAGTGATTTTGGTGCTTTCATACAAAGTGATAAGCAGGATAAGTTTATAATTTATTCCTGCAATTTATTTTGAAAAGGTAGTATTATAAACAATGAAAGTTGAAAGTACTGAAGATGAAAACGATAAATTTATGTTGAAATAATTAACTCCTAGTAATTATAAGTAAAAATAGGTCTAATAAAAATTAATATATTTGACTAATATTTAATTGATTATGTGATAATTAACACTAGATTTAATAGGATGGATCACAATTTGATCATCGCACTGCGATTGAGAAATAACTGAAATCATTTGATATTAAAACTGATTCTCGACTTCTAAAAAACATTCATATTCCTTCCGGTCACAATCCGTGTTTTACCATGATTAAATTTAAATTGTCTTTAAGCTTGATGTAAGAGATGTGTGCCGTGTAAGTTGATTGAAGGTAAAGTGCAAAACTGACCAACAAAAGAATAAGACACAAACAAGTGTCCAAGCTAGCAAGCGTGCCACTCTTTATTTCTTTTCTCCCCATATAGTGCTTGCGGTTTTGAATGAATATGTTGTTGGCTTTGCTGTAACTATCTAAACGCACTTCAAACGCTCTAAACTTAATTTTCTCAACTTCTAATGGTAGCTTTTAATTTTGAATTTTCTTGTGTGTTTGAAATTGAAACACGTTTAGCCAAATCACATAAAAAAATCACATTGAAATTATCTCTGATACAAACACACGTCATTTTAAATCATACTGTAATACTGGACCTACGACTATTACATCTGTTTATAAATCTTATAATTTCTATCAATATAGAAATTAAGAATTGAATTTTAAATAAAATTCTTAAATTCATATTCAAATATAATTATGAGAATGAAAGTGAAATTATATTTTAATTTGCTATTATGAATCACCGAAAGTTTGTGGATATTTGATTTTTTCGATTTATAGAATTCTTTATGGTTTCTTAATTCTTCTCTTATGATGATGAAGATAGAATTTCTAATAAGTCATTTTTAATTATCTACAAATTGAAACTTTAGAATTATTTCTTAGTTTTTAATATTTTAATTTGATATCTCATCAAATTAGATATTGACTTATGATATCTACACAATAATATTACATTTCATGATATCTATGTTTTTAGTCACAAATTTATTATTAATTAGACAATTACAACTTTAGTTAATTAAATGATTACCCTAACACATATAACATTAAATTTTGATATAAATATTCTAACAGCTACTGCAATTGTCATTGCATACCACAACTTAAAACTAGGGTTTTTTTACACATTTATTTTCTTTTTCTTGCATCACCACGGTAAGATTTTAACATGGTTTATTTAAAGTTGTACTCTCTTCGTTCTACAATAAATGATTCAGTTTACCATTTCACACATATTAAAAAAAATATAAAAAAATAAGAGAGAATAATATTTTTACTATAATATCCTTAATCATGTATTAAAAATAATTAAAATTTAATTAATCAGAAGATAGAATTTAAAAATATATATTAAAAATTGAAATTAATCATATTAAAACACTATTTTATTTCAAATAAATTAGTCATTATAGGAAGTAGTAGTTAGTGAACTTCAATGAGACGTACGGCATCACTGAGTTAAGTTTTCTCACTTTTTCAAACAATAAGTTTAATAGAGGTAAAGGGAGAACAAAAATGGTCAAGCAACAAAAAAAAGTGGCGACAAAAACTGAAAGCAAAGGCAAGAACATGGGGTAAACTAAAGTTGATAGCCCAAGTTCTTGGAAAGATATAAAGATATCATGTTCTGAGAAAAAAGAGCTAGCAGAGATGGGCGCACTCATGTGGTAAGGTACAAGTTGCACGTGAAAATGAAAGGGACAAAGTTCTCAGATAAACTAACATGCAAGTAATTACTTATGGACATGGAACTGAAATTAAGGTCAGAAATTGAAGTTGGTTTACAACAATCATGGGATAGACATATGGGGATCGAAAGGGTGATTAGCTAGAGGAAAGTAAAGTAATTTTGTAGGAGATGATTCAAATCTATGTTTTTGGTTTTCAAAATTTATAACTTTTAAAATTAATAGGATTTCAGCTCTTAGTTTTGAGTTTTAGCTCTGAATTTTTGTTTTTAGTTTAATTTTAATTTTTTAATTTTCACTATTAATTCATCCTATTAAATAATATTTAAACCACGGAAAGGAAAATAAATATGACAATAAATAATATTAATTTTGAGAATTTCTTAATGGAGCTCATATTTTTCTAGTATATAGTGTAAAAATATGTTTATGCTTTTAGGTTCTGGAGATATATTTTCGAATGCATCAAACTTTTACACATTGTTGAACAAGATCCTAAATCAGTGAAAATAATTTATCGGAGATGCATATACGTAAACTTTTCGTAAATGCATCTCCAGACGCACACAACTTCAGTACATATATTGCCCGGACCTAATATTACATAAAATTATTCCAGAGATACATCTCCGGCATATTTACGTAGATGTCTCTCTGGACGCTATTGGTTCAAATACGCGTCAGCGCCCCTTCCCCTTCCTCACTTACTCATACTCTTTTCAAAACCCATATCTTTATAACACTACCCAACCCCATTAATCGAAATTGCATCAATCTTCATCAAACAACAATCAAACTTCATCAAACTTCAGTATTCAAATATCATTGAACATCAAAAATCAAGTTGAAGAGATGAATTGTAAGTTTTTTTTAAGTTTATTGAGTCTATGTAAAATTGTTTATAAGTTGAGTTTTAAGTTATAAAATCGAAAGATTTTTAGTGTTTGTTAGCTTAAAACTATTGAGGAACGATTTTGTTAGGTAATTTTTACGATCAATGGTTTTTTTAGGTTCTAAGGGTCCGCATTCCGCCATTGACGGTCCTTGAAGTTGCAGGAATTTCCGGAGATGCATCTCTAGAAATTTTCAATGTTTACCTATAAACCAGAGATGTGTCTCCAAAATAAGTCTGTCTGCAGTCTTTTTCCTTTTTTTTATCAAGAGTCATTGTGTAACATTTGTCTTGTATATTTACAGGAATTATGGCTGAAAGACCATCCGGATTGAGACACGGTAGGGTTACACAACATGCTTCGATTCGAAGGGAAAAAGTTAACATCACATGCTCTTTCTACATCTAGATTGGTTAATATGGAGGCAGCGTCAGGTTCCAGGTCTCATGTCTCGATGCCTTCTTCTACGTCCTCCCGGAATAGGCGAGGTTCCCCTTCTTATGCCTCCCTGCCTCCATCTTCACATAGGCGCATGAGTTCACCTATTCAGGCACCTGAGGCAGGATAGGCATCACAGTCTCAGGCGATACCTAAGGTACCCCAATCTCCAACCACACCGGCGGTACATGATACATCACAATCCACTTGAGGATTCACAGACATCCCAATCCCAATTGGCACCTGATGCATCACAGGAAGATGAAGCCGCCTGGGGTTGGAAGAGGCACATCAGACTTATCACTGCTGCCTCTTTACCCATACCATGTTTCCAAACATGTCTGATACGGAGACATAAAATTTAGTTGGAATTATTCAACCTAACATGTGTTTGTTTTATTATTAAGTTATGTTTGTTTGAATCTGAAATTCTGGCAACAGATACTTAATGTCACAGTGAATGTTATGACACCGTATCTAACACACTTCAAGACAGTAAATTAAAAACAGTAAAGAACACAATCAATTGTTAACCCAATTCAGTGTGTAACAACACCTACTCTGGAGGCTACCAAGCCAGGGAGGAAATTCACTATAAGAGATATTAATTCAGGAATAAACCAACCAGTTTATCTCCTTCACTTAAGACCTACCCAATGCAACTTCAATCTAAGTTCAACTTAAACTTGAGTTCCTACTCACTCCCCCTCAATCACAACAGTGATACTAAACTATTGATTAATGAGATTATGAAGACACTCTTCAATACACACACTTGATTTTGCTTCAAAGCTTTAATCAAGAGACACAATCACTCGTGCTTCAAAGCTTTGAGTTGATAAACAACCCTAACTTGATTTTTCTTCAAAGCTTTAATCAAGAGACACAAACACTCGTGCTTCAAAGCTTTGAGTGATACACAACCCTTACAATCAAATCCTACTCCAAGTCACTTATCACAACGATGATTGCTTGGCTCACAATAGTTACACTATACAATCCCTTATTGATCTTCTGTCAAAAAGTATGCTTAACCATTAATCTTCATGAGGAATATATAGGCAGACTATTCTTCAGTTAGGGCTTCCATGAAAATAGCTAGGGTTAACTAAAGTTAACCTAAAGACTTGGTCTTAGGCTTTTATCATACCAGATTAGGGTTAAGCAAGGTTAACCTAATGTCCACGTGAGCATCTGATCTGGACTGTATACATCAACTCAGAGAAGCATACCAGATTCCTGAAAATTCTCAGGAATAATAAATCTGCACAAATGCTAGATCAGTACAGGAT